TAGTCGATTCAAAGTATCTTATTATGACGATTAAAGTAAGTATCTTAGGTACGTGCCTACCTACCTACCTATCTACCTAGTGAATATTTGGTTTTATTTTAGGAATTCAGAATAATCTTGTTTTTTTAAATGTAACTACAGAAATTGTTGATGCAACACAAGAATCGGCAACTCTGAAGTAGGTCTGAGCAGGACATGTGAGTCACTTACCAAGTTATAGGTGAGCCAAAATCTGTACATTTTGGCTATGTGAAAATTACGAAAGAAGTCGCGGAACACTACGTATGTGATGGAGAGACAATCTCGACTGGTTCTATAAAGACTGGTACAGCTTGGTCATTAATTGTGCGAGATGGAAACAGTTGGGGAACGTTTTTGCTCAGCAGTGGGATACCACAGACTATAATTGATTGATTTAAAAACGTACGGTCAATTAGTATTGCTCAAACATTTAGAAGGAACTTTTTACATCATCGTTATTTTATGCCTAAATCCCAAAATACATAGATAGCTGTATTATTATGATTAAGACAAATAGGTGCACAATTATGATGTCGATTATTTTTAATTACAAAAATAAATGCAGTACACATACCATTTTATCTAGTTATCAATAGATAGTAGTTAACTTTTTTTATGCAACTTAGAAGGCCAAACAAGTTGACGGACCACCTGATGGAAAGTGGTAACCGGCACCTATAGACATGAGCAGTATCATGGACATAATAGAATATATTGTTTCGCCCAAATTACCCCTCTCCCATGCATTGCCATTTCTGAGGACTTAGGTGTTATTCCTCTGTACCTTGTAAATTCACTGACATATCTCACCCTTCAAACAGAAACACAGCCATGCAAACACAGCTGCTTCATGGTAGAAACACGAATGGGACAGAGGTGCCCAAGCAAACGACTTTTGTACAAAGTCTCCCTCTGGGAACTGTCCACTGTTGAACATAGGCCTCCTTCTATTAAGGAGTTTTGTCTGAAGTTACCACGTTTGACAGACTAGTAGGCAACCGCAGTTAGGCTTGGTGATGTTTAAAACACCGCTGCCCATTCCTCATACATTTATACGTATAATTTAATATTGTTTTTTGTTAATTTGTTCAAGATGTCGGAAGAAATCAAGTCAACTGAGGACTTTCAACAAAAATGCTAAAATATAATAAAATATTGTATGATAAAATTGTTTCTCTTTATTAGGACTACAAAAAAGACTGCATTAGCATTCTATATTATACAGATAGCTCTTTATAACCATTTTAATGTTTAAAAAAATATGCACGTTATGAACAAAGCTATTTAGACGGATACGATAATAATTATTTACTTATTATTTACTCCACACTGATACCATATTGATTCTACACCCGTGCGAAGCGGGGGTGGGTCGCTAGTCATATTATAAATAAAGAATGAATATAAATAGAACTAAACATGCAGTTAGTTATAATACAAATTAGAATGGTAAGTAAAGATAAGCTAGCGTCGGTCCAAAATAGGCACAAGTCTGAAGGACTAAACATCATTAATATGTAATATAACTTAATATGTATTATTATATTTCAATATTATTATTATTATATAATTAAATATTGCAATTATGTCAATTGAAATATATCATATTGCAATTCGGAATAAATGCATTTAAGTATTAGTTTTTTTCATTTCAACCGTTAACTATCCACTGCTGACCCCCATAAGAGAAGTTTTGTCTGTAGGCAGGCTGGTTGGCAACTGCAGTTACACTTTTAAGGGTATTTTTTAGGGGTGTAAAGGATGCTGCTGCCCATTCCTCTACTATTAAGTTTACTTAGTCGCTTGTTACTACACTCACAGGAAAGCAAGGGGTGGCATATTCTATGCTGGGACCACACGGCTAAGTACTAAACATTATGTCTGAAAGGCTGAAGTGTTCAAAACGAAATCTGTTACTACTTACGTTATCATAATTTTAGTGCTCTTTCAGTGATAAGGAACTTTTTTTCTGAAGAAACAAAAAAATTTGGGCTTCCCATGAAAACTTCACTGCTGGACACGCCTTATTCGTATGACAAGCTATTTTTTTTAAGATAATCACAAGTAGAATATTCCTATAAAAATAATAATGTTTTCTATAAAATACTTCGCCAAAACAAATCAGGAGTGTATATTTAAATAAATACTATTAAAGTATTATAGTTACCTACTGTCTACGCCAAATACATATTTCTATTCGATGGTTTGACTTAGAAACCAGTTTGTCGTAGAAAGCATTGACTTTAGGAAATAAAAAAAAATATTATATTATTGTAGGTAAGTTCACATTTATTTTCAACCATATTGTTTCGCTATCTCGCTCATATTCAAACCGCAATTCTGTTCTCGCAATAAAAATATTATTAATTTAAGGGTAATATCACATGTATTTTTACTAACTCATGCATATGCACAATTCAAATATACCATTCTTTTTTCGCTTTTTTCTCTTCAAAGTCAAGAAACCGCATCACCGTACATGGACGACGCGAGCGCATCTCTTCCTGAAATCCTTAAATTAATAAAAACTACGAGTATAATAAATATTAAAAATGTGAAGCAGATTATTGGTGAATATTAAATGAATATTGCACTATTACGTGCACATATTATGCACATAGAAATATTAAGAAAGTGACTTAGAAAACTCTGAAACAGCGCCAAATCGGGGTTTCTCGAGGACCCACTTGCACATTTTCGTCGAGGTAAGGTCATCGTTTCTTTTTTTTTTCACAACACAGGGGGCAAACGAGCATACAGCTCACCTGATAGTAAGTGACTACTTCCGTCTTGCAAGTATGCTGCCGGTCTTTTAAAAAGAAATATGCTCTTTTCTTAAAAGTTATGATGTCGTATTGGTTCGGAAATACTGCTGCTGGAAGTTGATTCCAAAGAATGGCTGTGCGTAAAAGAACGTGTCGTGAAAAAACACACGGTGGAAGATCACCACTCGTCCAGATGGTTGGGATGAAACTTTAGGTGAATATCCACTTCAGTAACAATACGGAAACATGGCATGGTCTTTTGTTTTAAAAAAATACGCATCAGCCAACAGTCGAATTAGAAAGAAGTGTATGAATAGTAGGTATCTGTTATAATCGTTCAATCATCGAACCGTAAGAAAGTAATTAAATATGTCCATAATTTTAACAAAAGAAATCGCAAGCCAAATTAATTGCAGAAAATTTATTTTACATTTAGTACCGTAACTCTACTTGCGAAGAACAATGAGAGAGATCGATGCGCGTGGGCAATACAGTCGTTGCAGTTAGTTAATAGGACATAGTTCCATCAACTGATGTGTTTTATATCAGATGGGACTTTGTATCAGTGTGATCACTGAGCCCACGCTTCCGGAGCCTATTATTTACATAATCTGTGATCATTCCGCATCACTGACTGTCTCGGATTGTGGGATGTGTAGGTACTAGATGTTAAGTAATAAAATGAGTCGAATATGAGGTCAGCAATCAACCAATGAGTTAGGTAGGCACATATCTGGAAAATATGTCATTTGGAAAAAAAAATATTTATGCCATTTTGCTCTTGAAAAAAACACTAGGGCAAATATGACCACGAGTTTTTTGCCACATTTAATTATTAAGATTTCTTACACCTATTAAAACTGATTTGTCTCTGCATAATAAATTTATCTTTTATCTATTACTTACAATTGACTTGTTGCATTTTCGACTTCATTTCTTATATAAGTTTTTACCTATAATCATCAGAATAGGTATTCTTGATGTCTGAATGTCATATGCGTTTTTTTAAACATATGTTGGTAAGTACTAGATTTAAAATCCTTGTATCGTAAGTAACATTTATGATTGCATAATATGTACATATTCGGTCGTGTTTTCTAAATTATTATGCAGAGTGTTACATTTAATTTACCGTAACGCGGTAAATTGTTTGTTGTGATATACATAAGTATTAAAAAATCAATACATAATTAATTACGATATAATCAATTTTATGAAGACGCTTTTAATATTCCATTGACGATACAGCCATGCAGTTTCATATACTAGTATGTTCATATACGTTGACGACATTAGAAAATTAAATATGTAGTCATACAATTCCATAATTACGTATTTTCCTTTTAAATTACATCGTAACGATAAACTCCTACGACGTGCTACGATTAATTAAAAAAGGTAATTAAAGCTTATTAAGCTATTCCTTTTATTAATAAAAAGCTATTAATAAAAGGAATAATCGAAGAATATCTTCAGATTTAGTGGAAACCTGAAAAAGTTTCTTGAATACTAGCTTCTAATGCGGTTAGGGTTGGCATACCTATTCATTACTACTATTTTGATACACTGTGATACTACATATAATGCTCTTTTAAAAATTTCACTTCTGTAGGTACATATATATTGTTTGTTATGGATACTCAATTTAGTAAACTATAAAACATAGAACTATCTTTTATGGTTGTTTATGTATATATTTATATATGCTTGTTTTCCTACTGATAAATAATGCCCTCCATTAAATTATATAAATAACATAATTCTGGCAAAGAACATAATCACGCCTTTGTGTTACTGATAAATAATATTACTGCTATGTAAAACTAATGCATATATTGATAAAATTGTTGAGATTGTCATTATTGGCTTATTTAGTTTGTGTATTTGAATTTATTAATTTAATTTGATTGAAAGGCACGTGTACCTATACTATAATTTCGAGTTTACAGAATGTGCTCTTAAAACAGTTCACTAAACTTATTTATAGAAACATATTCATCTGTGTTTAAGGGGTAAGAGAGAGTATTTCCGAATCCAGTATCCAAATTAGAAAGTGTGAGAAACACGCATTCACTCCAACCTAAATAACTCATACACTTATATACTTAGGTGTTATCTTTGGAATTCAAAAATAACAATGTTATGTTTATAGTTAAAATAATAAATAAAAAACTACCGGATATTGCAAAATGTTAGAAAAGTAAGGATAAACGGTTGTAAGATATAACAATAACAATTAAAATTTATTCAAAACAAATAAATCCAAATACATTTCATAAAATATATTAATATTTAAATAATTATTAATATGGCAGGTAGGATTAGGAGTACAAATACCTAATTAAAAGGTCCAGTAACAACAGCACATGATTCACTTCACTATATCACGCAAAAGTCCTGTCTATATATTCATAATCGAATTCAGCGAAGAAGGAATCGAACGGCGAAAGCGAATCCTCAGCGAATTCCGAAGTGTTCTCAGGCTCTAACTCCGTAGAGAATTCAGATAGATCAGAACAGAACGGCGAGGGCCAACGTTCTGGCCTTTGTGTAGAATCGCTTTCGGGGCTGGAATCTCTTAGTGTTGCTGAGAGAGCTGATATATAGCGCATGGCTAGTCGAAGAGTCGTGATCTTCGTGAGTTTTTCACAGGGCACTGGCGTGCCGGTGATCGCTGAGGCCGGCACAGCTCGCCGCAGAGCTTCGAAGGCACGATTGATTTCGCGCATTCGACTTCTTTCGCGGGCATTTGCTGTTTTCCTTCTGTACTTGCTGAGTGGCTGGGGAGTGCGGCGCGCACGCGGCTCGCGGCTGCGCGCGGCGCGCGGACGCAGCTGGTACTTGTCGTGCTCGGGCATGGAGTGTTCTGCGAGTGGCTAGCCGCCCCACGCGACGATGCCGCCCGCGCCCGAATTCCGCTTGAAAAATACGCTCACTCCGCCCACTTGCCCCGCTCCGTTCATGTACACTTATGTTGGAATTACTTAACCAAGTGTGAACTTGAAATTGGCATTGTTATCTATTTAATAATTACACTCATTTATTATATTATCCTTGTGAGTCCTGTTAGGTAAAATATTAATATGTTGGTAAATCTTAAATATTTAACTACAGGAGTAAACGATTTGATATAGGCGTTAAACATAAAATTAACTAACTACGTAAAATTAGGCAATTTTTCAGATTTTCACAAACCACCTTTAATTGCTTGGATTTGATAAAAATGTATCACTTTTGCTAATAAAAAGACTTCTTTATATTGTTCTCAACATTAACTGTACCTTATAGATAAAACTTAAAATTTACCGATTAAATGCTAATAAAATTCAGTTTTTGCTTTGAAGCGAGTTCAACGTGCTTCTACAACTTGGTACGCGAATTTTCACTAATGAAATTTTTTGATGGTTAGGTTTTAATTACATGTTTTTTTTTAATGATATAAAATGCCATAATATTCTGCCTGCGTTATTAATTCCGCTGGCGTAATATCAGTGAGAGATGACAGATAAGGATGAAGGCAGTTTAATCGGCGCATCGTGGTGATTCACCAGGAAGTACAATATCACTGCGTGGAGGTCGACCTAAAAAGGTATATTGCTAGCAATAGGGCACTAATACCTATATTCATCATCATCATATCAGCCTTTAACTGTCCACTGCTGAACATAAGCCTTCCCTTTGGGGAGTTTTGCCAGTAGTTGCCACGCTTGGCAGGCGGATTGGCAACCACAAGTGGGCTTTTAGAGATGTTTTAAGAGGGACGCTGCTGCCCATCCCTCGCCTTCTCTTAGTCGATTCTTATGACACTTAATCCCCATATTACAATCTCCATATTAAATGGATTTAAATGTTTCGCGATTAAAGTAGTTGTATTTATTTGGGTCACTAAAAATCTGAATTAATCTTAAATTACACGATTAAAACGATGATAAACCATTTATGTTATTGAAAAATAAATTTTAGAATTAATTAATTTCCAGCTTTTATATATATAAGATACATACACACCTACTTATATTATAGAATCCATTACTAGACGAAATAAAAGAAATATTCTAAATGGGTTTCAGTATTGCACTTTATCATATAACTGTACATCGTTACAATGAATGAACAAGCAAATAGTAACCATGGTTACTCGTATCTCCCAAGTAAGTACGTAAGAAGCATAAAGAATCTATTGCCACAAAGTTTCTACTTCACTAATAATTTCAATAGATAAATACGATTTGCATATTATTCGATACGGCATTTCCGTTCATAAGCCTAAGTTGCCGATGGCTAATTGTTTATCGACCTTGTGACGCCGCGTGGGCATAAGTTTATCACGTGGGCGCCCAATAATGTCACAAAATGATGACTGGTGTGAATGTTACACCTTTATTTCTACAAAGTACCTTCTAACTGACTTAATACTTAAATATATTACCTATTTTGGATAACTTAGATACCTACCTATTTTTGAGCAATGTGAATTTTAAAACGCTCTGATGAAAATATGGATTTAAATAGATAGTTACTGCAACTGCTTGAACTTTTAAATTAGGTTTTGTAAAATGTAATAATTTAAAGATTTTTTACAAAAAAACATCGCATTTAATCGTGACTAAATTAATATTAGTTCAGTAGGTATAGAAGTTAATTCAAATTAAATGCAAAAACAATCACTCAAATCGGTGCAGAATTGTAGAATTCTAATTAATTTACTTTCATCCTCATCTATCATCCCTCACTAGTGCACTGGCAGCTTGTACCGATAGCGCAGGCGGGGTTACAATTTCATTTACACCTAACTCTTACGTAAGAAGAAATATTCGTCCTAATAAAAATGCTTTTCCTATACTCATTTTGTAATGATCATACGTAGTGATCACTTTTTCTGTGATAGCTATTGCTTATTTTTCTCTGCAGACGATAGCCACCACTTGCCGTTAGATAGGCCCTGCGGGGTATAATTGAAGTTCGTAAGTTTTTAACACTTTTTCAGCCAGCTTAAAAATTTATCAAGGAACAGTATAACATTAATTATTGGAATATGTCATAACAATTGTCGGAAACGACAAAATACTGTCAGTTAATTTCCTGTTATATACGTAATAGATATTAAAATACGATTTAATATTTTAATAATATTTCTTTCTCATACCACCTACCACCAATCAAAAACTAATTAAATATTTACTTTGTATCTGCCAATAATAAATATATAATAAATACGAGTACTTAAAGTTATTAGGTCCTACATACATTATATAGACATTTTGTAAAAAGCAAGACTTCTTTAGATTATGGTACTATAATGTAGGTATCTATTACAAAATTCCATTTTCAAATTAGCGAGGGAAATAAATTACATAATTATATCACCATATTTTGTCAACTTTTTTCCCGTTAGGATCAGAGAGTATTAATTGTTAGATTTACTTAAATAAATTATATACCGATTTAAGTATTTTTGGATGAAATAGTAACTAGCAATGGAATTACATTGCCAAATTTTGCTATACCTTGATAAAAGGCGTTTTCTAATTGATATGAATAATACGTGTAAACAATTCATAAAACAATTAAATGAGAAAACAATAAGTAAATATCCTCCATGTAGACACTTATTGGAAATAGATGTAATAGATTTACTTGAGAAGTATCCTGCAATTGGAGAAATTCTTCTAAAAGAGCCATATAAGTGGCAAAGCGTCTGTAATGAAATTTTATTTGCATGTTTACAATCGTCAGAAAATGAATGGGTTCAATACGTAATGTTAACACAAGTAGCAGTAATTTTACGATTAAAATGTATACCAAACCTACTTACTAATTCGAATCCTCGCCATTATAAAGGGCTGGTATTATTCCAAGGCTTATTATTATCTATATCAAAACCAGAAAGTTACGCATATCATACTGTTTGGTCTTGCCCACAAGAGTGTGAAGGTAATGAAACTGTTATACAATATATACCAAAAACCCCACCAAAATGCTACATTTGTAAAAGCATTCTTTTCGAAAACAGTGGATTGCGACGTTGTGGCGAGCAAGTAACAGCTATGTTAAAAATTGAAAATAATCTATTGTTAAGACGATTTACTATTAATGATGATTTAATTTGTAAATTAAAACTGGGATCTACATACATACTGCATGCAGTAATAACAAAAAAACTTTCAACGGTGTGGTCTTTAGAAGAAATTATACCTTTGCCAGTATTAACAACGTTGTGTGTTCCTAAAGATATTGAAGAATTGTATCAAGTATGCAAAGCTGTACCATGGAAATTTATATACTGCCTTGCATCAAGTATAGGAGTAAACATTTGCCCCTTAAATTGCTACATGCATTTGAAAATAAATTTGCTACTAAGTTTGACCAGTGTCAAAGCCAGTGTCCTAAATAATTCGCATATTATTCATGTTTTCGCTGCCGGTCATGATACTGGGTTTGTTGGACAAGTTATGGGAGAAGGAGCAAAATTATCTGACAGATACCAAAACTTAGGAACAGTAAATACTGCTGTAACTTCAACATTAATAGGCTCATCAGGTGGTGTTTGTTTAATGCCTTTGCCATTTTACGTCTATAATCAAAAGCAGACATCTTCTCTCCTTTCGGCAATGGAATCAGGGGAAATAATTACTGATACACATCGAGGAAAACTTCAATGTGCAGTTTGGGCACATGGCATGGATAATAAAAGAGGAATTTTATTTAATGTCACTAATATTTTTGGAATGGTTAGTCGAGGTGATTATGGGGAATACAGTGACAAAATTGTAGACTTTCTTTTGCAAAACGCTATAGAACCCTCACCTAACAGCTTTGATGAAATGAACGCATTAAAGGACATATCATCGTATATCGACTTGATTGCAGGATTACGAGTTTCATTAGATAACCATTGTGAAAATCTTATAAGAGATTATTTTTTGGCGTCTCGCAAAATGAGACCTAGAGCTGTGTCGGTAAGAACAATGGACGCCTTAGTAGCAGTTTGTCTCACTTCTGCGAGACTTTGTCGGCGACCTGTGGCTTCAATTGATGACGCAATATTCGCGATTTGGTTACATGTCAGCGGTATTTCAGAACATGGAATCGCTCCTGAAGAATATTTACAAGCACCATCAGATATAAAAGAGTTACAAAAGAATATTATTAATTTTAAAACTTGGTTACTCGAATTCACTGGTAATTGTATAGTTTAAATAAAAAATGTAGTAAGGTTACCACTGTACTTGGTAAATGTTAAATATAATTTTGTCAACCATCATCTTCACATTTTGCAGAGTATATTGTTCTTGTATAATGTATTGGTAAAATATAAATAAATTTGTGAAATAAAAAATCTTATAGTTTTAAATACAGAGTTCAAAATAATTTATTACACACATTTCATATCAGTAGAGTTAGACAAAACAAAGAAAAAGTTAACAACATACATCTGAACAAAAAAAAAACCACATAATCTAAGTATATAATAAAATACACATTATATTATAACAAATAATTAAGATTTCAGTTTTTGGACTAGAAATTCATAATAAACACAAATCACAACAAATAAAATTCTCATTTCATTATAACAATGTCAAATATTTAGTAATAAAATTCATTCAAATTTTTATTTAAAACATAATAAAAATGTATATTTAGTATAAAATAATTTTTTAATTAAGTAATATAAAATATGCACTTAATTAAAAGTAAGTTAAATACTTATATGTATTTTAAGGCACATTGTTTACTTTGATTACTGCAGTTAAAAATAGATCTTATGATAAAAATTCAATCACTCACTTGAATTTAAGAAACTGTAATCAAAATTTGTTTTGCTTAATAATCGTTTCTGAACACAAATTTTTTCAGAAAGTTTTTTATGATTTTGTTTTAATTTAATACTTTCTTCAATCAATGATGTCAGTTCCTCCTCATTCTCAATTTTGTTTTTCATTTTAATACAATGATTAGAGACTGCTTCTCCAATTTTAAAATTACTTTTTTGAAAAGATACTACACTATATGGCAGGTCCACCAAATTTTGGGCATCCCTGATAAGTAAACTTATGGTGGACCATGTACATTTGTTTAGTTCATCAACAACAACAGCAGATTCTTTAATTAGTTTTTCAGTATTATTTGCTGCTTGTGTTATAATGTCTGCGATTTTATAAAATTCAGTACTTAAATCTATTAGTTTCAGCATAAACGGTTGATTTCGAATTTCCAAAAGAATTTTGCTTCTTAGTTTGAGACAGTCATAGCATATTTTCATAATATCGTGGCACTGTTTTTCTTTAACTCTGTATTCATTGTAAGATTCACTTTTTTTATATGCAATATAAACAGTTATAACATTTTTGAATATATTTTGAAAATTATACTTCTGTATAAAATTGTTAAGATCTATAGATAATACTTCATTACTCCGTCTTGCTGCTGATTGTAATCTTACAGAGAGTTGAGACCATGCTGTTTGCAATTTACTACTTTTATCATTCAAATCATCAGCATCTTTAAAGAGTTTGTCAAAACCTCCAAGTAGATTTGTCCCTAAGCCTTTTTCTTTTAGATCTTCAATATGTTTCTTGCCTGTTTCACACATATTTAAGATTATTTCTTTCGTTGCAAGAAGTTCACGAATATCTTTGTCAACTGCATTATGTTTGAGAAGCATCTGTGTCTTTTCATGTTTTAATGATTCAGCTCTAGCAAATAATCCTTTAACAAGAGAGTCATAAAATTCCATTTGGGATATAACAAAGTAAAGTCCATTCCTGTACAAATTTTGACTATTTTTGAAATTATATAAAGCTTTTGGATGTTCAAGACATCTTTGCACTGCTTTAGGTACTATGGGCTCAATATTTTCTTTTAAAATATACATTCTGTGATACAGAAACAACATTACATTACAATTTTCATCCCAATGTTTTACAATAAGTTCATTAGCATCAAGTTCTGTGTATGTCATTTGGGAAATCAAAATTTGATCTTGAACAGAAATGTTTGTATCTTTTTCTATCCAAAATTTAAGAGTTGTTATTGATGTTTTGTCATCAATTTCATATGCATGTTGCGATGAAGTGGCAACTGAAAACACTTTAATAATTTTCTTTGATAAAATATCTGTGAGAAGGTTAAATATTACAATTTTACTTGTTACTTCCTTTTCTTCAGATGGTATATTAAATGTAACTTTAGAAGGGGAATCCCTTCCTCTTAATTTTGGATCCCATTCAAGAGCAACTCTCAACCACTTTTCAATCATTGCCTTAAAAGGCTTAGAAACATAGTTTTCTGAAAAGATTTCATCTGAATATTCTATGTCACCATGGAAAGTCTCATAAACACAGACATTTTCATGACTTTTCTTTTTAACATGTGGCATCCACTGCACTGGGGCTAGGAATGGTAGAAATGGACGAGTGCCACAGATAATTTCAAATGCAAGAAGACCAAATGACCAAAAATCAACAGAATTACTATAGGTTTTGCTATAGAGAATTTCAGGAGCTAAATACTGTAAAGTACCAACAAAACTTGCACATACTGATTTTGAATCAATTTCCTTGGCATAGCCAAGGTCTATGAGTTTATATATTATATTCCTTTGGCATTGGGCACCAAAATCATAGGTTCCAGTACTATCTAACAATTGAATGACAATATTTTCGGGTTTAATATCTCTATGTGTAATTTTATTCTGATGTAGAAACTGAATTGCATTTCCAACATCACTAAGTATTTGTCTAACTTGATCTTCTTTCAATCCACTGCAAGACTCAGGTTTATTTAATTGTTGTCGTAGAGATCCGCCGCTGCAGTATTCCATACATAAAATTGGTAGTTTGGACGGATTTATAGGCTCTAAACCAGCTAAAAATTCATGTGGCAATTCTTTAGTACCTACTATATTAGGGTTATTGCAATTTTGTAACATTTCCACTTCCTTTGACCATCTTTCTTTGTGTTTTACGGTGAGTTCATCGCCCCATTTACACGTCTTGATCGCGAGTTTTTCATCAGTTTTTTGATGTTTCCACAATACTACTGTTCCAAAACTTCCTGAGCCCAATATTCCATCTTTAACCCAATCACCAATAAATACTACACTATCCATTTTTCATAAATAAATTCTATGTAAGATATTATCAATTATAAATAATGTTGAAACTAAATACCTAGTGTACCTAGATAATTAATAATAAAAATTTTGATCCCTGACTGACACTGACTTTGACATTACTTTATTTTTTTAGTTTAATGCAGGAGTGCAGGTACAATCCTTAATCTGTGTCTATCACTATCATATGGAGAAGCTGAAATTTTTGTGGAAACGTACATTATATCTATGATATGGAGTTTTTTTTTTTATGGGTGAAAATGGTATGGTAACTCCGCCTGCGCTAACGGGATACGCTGACGGAGCACCAGTGAAGGGTGATAGATGAGAATGAAAACAGGCCAGTTAGCCCATTATGATGAATTCATCAGGAATTAACCATAATAGTTTCCAGGGAGAACCGCGAGGAGGTCGACCTGGTTGGGTATATTGCTAGCAATAGGATTCTCAGTCTCCATTATTAACAATCCCTTTCTCCCCTGATATGGAGAGTAGGTAAATAATTTGTTACATAGACGTAGTCAGAGCTGGGTAAAATACATGCTCGGCTTTAATTAAAGTATAAATTACAAAATACTACCTCATGTGTACAAAATAAGTGTGTAAGAAATATAAAATGTTCTTAAGTTATGTATTTAAAATATAAATTATAAAATACATACCATACGGGGCAACTATTGGCAAAACGCTATTAATAAGGGGAGGTTCAGCGGTGGCTGGTAACGGCTGATATCATTATTATTAATAAAATAACGTCGTTTAGCAAACAAACAAATAAAAAATGTACCTACTGATTCGTAACGTATAACAGAAACATTTTTCTTGAAATAAAAATATATATTATGTACTTAGCCTGTCTGAAACCTATAAACATGTCGAGATATGCCTTTTGACTTTCTCGGCATTATTTGGATAACATTATGATAATATGACTTAATTCTCTCTTCCTACCCGCTAATAAGCAAGTATGTACGCACTAAAAAAGAAGTGTGTTGTTATACTATGATCAGTCGGTAAAGCTTCATTTTGTGTCATGTATCAGTATCATTACCGGCGTGCACATGTACGCAAGGAACATCACTCTTGAGAGGGATCTAAGGATCCTCATGCTGGATGCCCGCATCAAAGATTTAGTCACCAAAACGTTCGCGCGTATATATGCGTCAGATTGGGGCCATCTCAAAAGCCTGGCACCATTAAATACGTGGTTTCCAAACTAAGCCGTACACGCACGAACTCGATAATCACGCGCGTGCAGAAAAAAAGATGCTGTTCCTTAGCGAAGATAACGTTGTCGCCTGACTTATTCATATGCTGTCAATTTGCAGGGCCTCTCTCCATGGGATTTGGCATAGATATTGAACTTTTCTACCATAGGTATAACACAGATTACAGACGCCAGTTTTTTTTATCTATGATAAACATAAGAACAGATTAAGAATAGTACTGACATTTCCCTTTCTATGTAGACTACGAATTATATGATTGCAATTTGTAATACATTGGAAACAAAAACAATAAAAAATTCAACAAAAAGCTAGTCAAAAAACTACAAAAAGCAAATCTTAATTCTTCGTTTTTCGCTTGTGTATGTTTTTTAGTTTTAAAATAAATGCATTTAAAATGGAACAAATGGAGAAATGTTGTCGTACGTGCATGAAATATAATACGAGTCTAGTGGACTTATTTCAGCCTCTTCTTGATGGCAAATGTATTTCGTTAGTTTCCACAGTTTTGATGGAGTACACAGGAATGCAGGTAAGCTATCAGACGTCAACAAGTAGTTGTTCCTTAGACTTTAGTCATCTATCATGCAAATAAATAATAGAAATATATACTTATGCCTATATATTTATCCCAAATATTATGTGTATGCTAAAATTTTGACGATTAGTAGAGCACTTAAGGTACCGAGATAATATGAGACACTGCACTCGCATTTATGATAACAAACTTGCTTTCATTTACATTTTTAACAAATATTGAAAAATGTTTTTTACAGATATCAAAAGATGATGGTCTGCCACAGAATATATGCCATAGTTGTTTGAAAGTAATTAAATCAATGTATACATTTCGTGAACAAGCATTATTAGTTGAAGCTGAACTAAAGAAAATTATTTCATCCCAGAATGTACAAAATGAAGAAATAAAAACAGAAGTGAAATCTGAAGTAGTAGATGATTTTGATAACTTTTTTACTGACTCTGACTTTCCCAAAGAGGAAGAACAGGACTATCCCCAGGAGAACAATATGGGAAATGACGGCAGTGAATTAAATTTACCAAAAAATGAAATTACATTTGATGAGAACTTTGCAGTATCTGAAGACACTTTAAACTTGGAACCATACACCACAAATAAAGAACTAATTAAACGAAAAGTACTGTCATGTACAATATGTAATAAGCAGTATCACAGAACTTCATCTTTAAACAAACATTTAACTAAGCACAGATTGTTAAACCCAATACGATGTAAAATCTGTAATAAAAATTTTGAAACGGAAACCTTGTTGGTTGAGCATACATTAAATCATAGTGAAGAGCTAACCATAAAGGCAGATACTGATGAAGATAAAATATATGAATGTCCAAACTGTGATTTAAAGTATAGTAAAAGAAGATCACTGTCAATGCATTTAAAGAGACACAAGGGGGAAAAATCTCATGAAAAGAAAAAGTTGTATGTCTGTGATATATGCCAGAAGGGATTTTCTATGAAATCATTATTAAAGAGGCACTTACAACTACATAATAAAGAGAAACCATTGAAATGTACAATATGTTCTAAAAGTTATTACAGACAAGACCAATTCCAAGAGCATATGAAAAAGCATAATGGTGTTAAACCTCATATCTGTTCCTATTGTAATAAAGGTAACTATTTATACTTGTAAAGAAAGTCTTCAGAATAAGTGTGCATGTGTGAACAATAGTGGAAGTAATTTTGTGTGACTAACTTATGTACAAATGTATTTCTGTTGTGAAACAGCAATGCAAGCATTGTGTCTGAAAGGCACAAAGTAAGTTGGTCAATACCTACTAGCTAGCACAAGAAGCATAACTACTTTTCTTCAATAAAGCTAGTATATGTGATGACCATCACAATATGTGGAAATAACAATGAATAACTCTCAATTACTTGGGTAAAAATTTGTGTAAAGGTTACACTAGAGATACCTAAAATTGTTTTGTCTCCTACACTAGCCACCAAGTTTTTTAGTTTTGGAGGTCCACTCAAAACTATATACATATTGTCCTTTTACTTATAATTTTTCTGTAGGTACCAATAGAGTATCTTGTAAATCACAGCTAATCCTAGTAGTCTACATGGATCACCATGAGTGGCAATGGACAAAACCACCTAAAAATTTGTATAAATTTGGACAGAACAAGAGACTTGTGAGAATAGTTTTTAATATTTAGAATTATTCTGTCTACTTAATACATGTAAAGATTATTGTATACAAGACTTATTGTTAGTATATACTCTATATTAGTTACCAAAATTTTGTAATATGATGAATTTTGATATCAGGGTTCACACAGCTGTGCAGTCTGAAGGATCATGAGCGAACACACACTGGGGAGACTCCTTATCTCTGCTCTGAATGTGGCAAGGGTTTTGCCAACAGTTCAAATCTCAGACAACATATGATGCGCCACACTGGACTCAAGCCTTTCTCCTGTAAATTATGCCCAAAAACGTTTTGTACAAAAGGTATATATGTGTGTTATAATACTGCAAGATAAGGACAAATTATAGTAAAACCATAAACTGAAACTGGATCGTCAGTATTTTTGTTTTAATTATTTTCAGGACAGGTGACATCTCACATGACCACTCACACTGGTGCCCATCCACATAGCTGTGAAGAGTGTGGTGCTAGATTCACAGCAAGCACCTCACTGAAGAAACACAAACTAATACACCTAGGAATAAAACCTTACAGCTGCGATACTTGTGAACAGAGGTGAGTCTCTACTACAAGTAAAGTTGTACATTTAAAATTATTTTCCAGGTATGGGGAGGTGTTCTATAAAAAAAGATGCATATGTACTCTCAGATATGTCTGTGCATAAATGGGCCAACTTGGCCCCCTCTTGATTCTGGTTGACCTTTGATTGAATGGAAACTTATGTTTTTTTCATTATTATTTTTCTTTAATAATATATATTTTTTATTTTAACAATTACATAAAATATGCACACTAAAGATCAGCATTACAATTTTTTTTATTATATATACATTTGTAGTAATTATAATATTTCCAATGTTCACAGTTTCTCATGCAAGGATCACTTGAAGCGACACTACCGCATCCACACAGGCGAAAAACCTTACAAGTGTATATATTGCGATCGCGCATTCACGCAGTCCAACGATCTCGTTAAACACAAGCGGACACACGAGGGACAGAATTTATATAGGTAATTCAATTCAAATATTCAATTATCCGGACTTATTCTTCATGGTTCTAGTAACGGATTTAAAAATGGTATTATGTATTAAATGGGTAAATAGGTATTATGTAATCCATTATCTTTAAAATTTTTTATATCGTCTTGCCTAAATGAAATATTTAAAACACTTTTACATAAAGAAAAAATATTGAAATAGATTTTCCGGATTTTCAATTATACGGAATACCTCTGGTTTTATTTGATTCGGATAATCGAGATTCTACTGTACACATATATTTATCTGAACTTTTGTAAATATTTTCATTTACAAAGGTTACAAATTAAGAGTATATTTATTTTACTAATCCATAACTTTTTTTTTTATAAATTTACAAGGAATTTATATGTTTTAGATGCACCATATGCGGCATGAGGTTCCGACTAGCTACTGAGCTAAAACAGCACTATCCAACTCATTATGTCGAGGGTGACGTCACTATCCCTATTGGAAAAGGATTGGAGGCACCTGTAATTATATTGAAACCAGAAGAAGTAGCACAGTCAACCGAAACCAATGCAAACGAAATAGACCCTAGGATAACCATTACAATTAATAGTAGCATGAAAAATGGTTTAGCTGGGGATATAACAATCGATATTTCCCCAGAGAAAAGCTAATAATGCTGTATTTTTAGACCAAATAATATGTGATACGCGCCTTATATACATTATAATGTATCTAGCCTTCATTTTAATATTCAGGTTTGTCCTGAATTAATTTAGATGCTAGTGTACTTCCCAGTGTTGTTTCAAGTTACACTATTTAATGTCAGGCGAATTTCAGCCTTATATCGAGGAGCTTTTATTTGAATTATTTATTGTTAGACTTATAAATTAGTGACCACAATATTGTTCTCATAGTTCATTAAGAATAGATATAAAAATTGATAAATTTAAGGAAAAGTAAACACGGTCTTACTTGAATGTTTAATGCAATCTATTCTATCACAAAAGCAACGTATCACGCAAATTTCAGTTATTTTCAGTTACGTAATTTATGCGTTAGTAGGTAATTCGTATTTTTTAAAGCATTACAATGCCGATTGAACTCTGTAGAGATACTCATTAAGTCCAAAATATAATAATGACAGCCAAAATACAATTGGTAGGTTCTTATATGTACTCCTGTCTTATCTGTTTTAGACGTGGGGCTTCATTGCACGCACTGTTGTGTTTCAGTGTAAAGGTGGCATACTCAGTGCAATTTATATAAAAGGTGTAACATTTTAGTTCTTAATAGCGACATAGGGTATGGTTGCTTTAACCGTACCACAGTCTGTTATACCCCGGTAATACTCGTATGTCGGCTGGCCGACTTCGTAAACCAAAAAAAAAAAAAATATAAAGTAACCTTTTTATACAGTTTTTAATAACATTTTTGAAACATACATTTTTTCTTTGTTAACATCTATTTGTAATATTTATTTAGCAATTGTATACTCAAACGGCGAAACTTTTTTACGGTATGTCAATAGTTTTATAAACTTGGAACTTACTGCTTAAGTCGTACCTGCGCAAAATTCCTTACTCGTACCGATACAACTTGGTTTAATAATATACTTTTTATCAGGTATAAAATATGGGGAAGGGAAAGTACAATAACTTGACCATGTTGCGTTTTTACTATTTTTTTTTATACCACTGTGGTGGCAAACAAACATACGGCCCACCTGATCGTAAGTGGTTACCGTAGCCTAATAAATAAAAATAAAGGTTAAATCTCCACTAATAGTTTCATTATCATTATAAATACAATTCTGCTCTTAGCACCTAGATATTAAATGCCGCTTATCATTCAACCTGGACCTTTTACAATATCATTAAATACTTCACACGATATATTAACAATTGATAAAATTACCAATAAACAAATAATGTTTCGCTTGAATTTTTTGTCTACTGAGTGTTACATATACGGCAGCAATTAAAAGAAAATAGAAACCAAGGAAAATTAAAAGGCAAAGCCTGCACTAGATATAATATTTAAAATTCTAAATTCAAAGTAAAATAGTAATGTTATTATATAATTGTGTAATCTTCATTATTATGTTGTTTTGTTATATGTAATATGTATAATTTATATTATTTTAAAGAGATATTATTTAAATGAAAAGTTTGTTTAGTGTATGCGTAAATAAATAAATAATACAAATTTAAATAATTATGTATTCACTAAAGTCTATTTTCTAAGTACGACTAAGGCTATATAAATGATACGAATCAGGCGACCAGGCGCCTTAATTATACTGAAGGCATATTTTTGAAAAACGTCAAAATAAGTATTTTGATAAAAGATTTTCAAGTTTTTATGATGACTAAAGAAAGAGTAGGCGCAGAAGATTTTTTTTTTTTTTTATTTCAATTGCACTGAATAGAATAGTATTATTTCCTTAGGGGCTACAACTTTACCCCAATAGCAACCTTACCCCATAAGCTATTATCCATGACTCTTATCGAGCATTAATTTTATACTCTTATGATGATAACCAGCTGTATAATTTGTACTGTAATGTCCATCTTGTTCCTGTTTATAAGAGGTTATCTCTCCTTATAAGGTGATGAATGATCAACTTAAAAATAGATGTTTTTTATAAATAGATACGTGGTTGAATAGGTCACAAATTTTTCTTAGGCATTTAATAGGGCCGGTTTTTTTGTGATTTTGTGACCTCTACTGTGGTCTATTTAATACTGCCTATGTATACTCACTATAAAAAAAATGTCTCACAATCATGTATGTGATAGATAATTCTTAGAGGCTCGTTTGTATAAAGAAAACTATAATGTACTAAGTGCATTTTTTAGAAAATTGATATATCATAATGGAAAATAGATTTTATTATTAGGTTAGTAAAATGCCGATTGGGTTTTAAATCGGCGTCTACTGTGCAACGCCTTATTTACAATGATTATAATATAATATTATAGGAATAAGTTGATAGATATATTGTAGCTGTTTTATTTTATGCATTACTTACATTATAATAAAATGTAATTATGAAATGTCTATTTTGTTTCTACATTAAATAACTTCTAGATCGTAACAGTCGTAAAACTGACTTACAAACCGTAAACTTTATATTATAAACAGTAATTTATGGTAACTCGACGGTAATTTGTTGTATTTGAAGATATATTTATGTTACCTTTAAAAATGAGCTGAGATTACTTTGACAGACGGGGATATTTAGTTACTTGCTAATGGAAATGCTCTTCACTTCTTATCAGGTGTGATCTGACAAGTCAGAAAGTGAACTACAAATATTATACATAAATAAGTGGCGCATACCCGTAGTATTGAAGCTAGTGCATTATGAGAACCAGATATGAGTATCTGAATTCATGGCGCTCAACCTAGAATATTTCAACTTGAGTAAATTTTATTGTTTAATGAGAATTTAAATTTGGACCACATTTATATAAAATGATATACTTTTATTAAAGTTTTTATGTCAAACAGATTAAAAAAAAACTTAATATTGGTGTAATACTGAGTTTTTTTTTGTAAGCTGCTAATTATAAATCGACGACATTCTTCAGTCCTTCGAGCCGGATTGAATTAATAACTTGAATATTCGATTTTGCTAAAATTTTTAACGACCTTATATATTATTATATATGTATGTTTGTTTATTCGGTATTCACAATTAAACTTCGAAATTAAATATAGAAAAGAAAAAAATATGCAAATAAAAATTGTTCATAAATTTTATCCATTAATAAAGTACATCTTATCGTCTACAAACGTGTTCTTTATGATGATATTGGGGTCTTCGGAGTCTGAGCTGACAAGCTATTGTTCTAAAAAATGTCTAAAAAAAATTTATTTGGTATTACAGCGAAAGAATTTAAGCAACACACGTTCTTAGGCCATCAACACAGTTTTTGTTTTCCCTCCCATAACCATAACAACTCATTAATGGCACACGGGCACGGCCATTATTTTTTCCGTTGCACATTAATTAGCAGTATTTTTCAACAGTATTTTTGATCGTGACTCCCAAAGAAAGAGGAAGAAGTGGGAATATTAATACTTTTATTTGTAAAGGGGTTACGTAGACAAGAGTTTAAATCACTACTGGTATTATAGGTATAGTATAGAAATGGGATTGTACATGCGATGATAATAATGATCAAATCGTTTGTATATTTTTCAGTATCTTTAATTTCAATAAATATTATTTTCTAACAATTATTTGTTTTATTGTCGTGTTAATTGATGATCGGAACGACAGGTCACATCTGCCTCTTATGATATTTAATCGCCTACACTCAGAAACTTTGCGACGTGGGCAGATCTGGGACACTTCTCGGTTTTGGTAATCTAATATATCTACATACAGGTCATCGGGCAGCGGTACTGAAATTATTACAGTTTCATGTATAGACAAAATGTTTGCATTGAACAAGTTTAGTGTACATTTGGTATTTATTGGTATAAATAGGTTAAAAGTATTAAAAATACCTCCTACTTTCTCTGAAAATATTAAGATTTAGATAGATCCACAGCGATAGTAATTTTTAACCGATTCACATATTTATTATAAAATTCATGGAATGGAACCAATACTTTTTTTTTTAACAACATTTTTATAATATTAGGTATATTATAAAACTGTAATATAAAAAAATAATTCAAGCAAAATCAATAAATTATATTTCTAAGCGGACGATGTTGTGTTGCATGAAGATATAAAATTGAAATAAAGACCTCCTTAGTTACTAGAGATAAAGTAAATATATTTTCGCAATTCATTAGCGAGTCAGAATATGGGGTAAACGATACCGATCCTCTTCGAGAACACTCAATTGTAAGCAAGTACCTAAGTTTGTCTTTAGCTAAGCTGCTTTATAAAAATACACTATAACTATATGTTTGATTTTTATTCTTTATATTATAATAACTTATGACTAATTAAAACTACTACTAGTATAATTGCATAAATTGAACCTCCCTATTTTGAATTTACAAAAATATCAGACAGAAATTTATTTTTTAATTAATCGTAAGGTAAGCTCTTTAACTGTTTTGGGGGAGAAAGGGATTGTTAGTAATGGGGTTTAACAGTCTCATTGCTAGCAATACACCCTATCAGGTCGACCTCCACGCGGTTTACCCTGGAAATCATTGTGGCTAATTCTTGTGGAATTTATCACTATGAACTAATTATAGCAGATACTTTTATTCTCGCCTATTATCTCTCACTGGTGGGATTACCGTTCAGTTTTTACTCATTGAAAAACTTCTTAACTTTCATTAATTTATGTTACATTTTATCATGCTTACGAATCAACAAGTAGGTATAGGTAAATACAAAGTAATCGTAAAATATTTTATGGTATCATTGCTAATATTCTTTGACCCTTAAGAGAATGAAAGGATATTCGCAGATATCTGCCTATGTCTGGATATCCTTTCAGAATACTTATATAGAATATTGAATAATTTTCGTTGCGTTGTAAAATCCACTTAAAAAGTTTAAGACTCAATAATATTAGTAGGTAACGATATTATACCCATTTTTATAATTAATAAAATATTTTGCTGTTAATTGAAGTTTTAGCATACATCTACGATAAGAATCGTATCAAGCTATAAAAGTCAACTTCAGCCAGTGTTAATATCTACTGGTTAGAATCATTTAAAAAATGCTCTTAATTATTAGTATTTTATAATTTTTATTTGTTTAAATACAATAATAATAGTAATAAGTTTAAATACTTTCCAATAATGCATATTTTTTCAAATATAAATATTATAGGTACGTAAAGTGCTTAATTTAGTTAGCAATTTATTATATTAAATTTGTCGAGTCTGCGCTATATTCTGTGTAAAACTAGGGGTGCGAGCGCGGGACAGGGCGAGGGCGGCCCGTTATCAGTGCGCAGCGAAAGGCCGTGGGCGGCGTACGAGGTAAGCTTATAAGCACTTTATTGTACTTAGTTTTAAAGATACCACTTTTTATCGTTTTGTCGCTATCTATAATTTTATCTACAATTTATAAATATATAATAATAATGGCCTGCAATATTTGCGGATGTTTATTTCAATTCGATTGATTGATGAATTTGTTCATTGTTCATCAGTTGATGCTGATATAAAGCGGTCCTGCAGTTCATTGTACGGACATAAAAGATAACGTAGATTTGACTAGGTCAACGCATGTCCTTAAGGGGTGGAATATTGAATGTATCCTCGGGGTGGGATGACTAGACGAAAGTTTGGCATCGTCTCTTTAATTAATAAGCATTCAATGTTTATTATTCTTTAAATGTTATTGAAAAACGTCGAATTTGGTTATTAATTTATTTAAACTATTAAATATGAGATAACTGTTAATAATAATATATCAAATATTTATTAATTTATAATAATTATATTACAATAATATAGTTATATAGATTTTTTATTTTACCTGTTGTCACATATATATTTTTATATTGTAGTTACAGCTCTAAATTTTCAATTCTCAGATTATTTTTTTATTGATTTGTTATATATATAACTTACTGTGATAAATACTTAGTAGATAAGTATATTCAATAGATATATTATTGAATACATACTATGACTACGTCTAATAAAAAAAAATAGATATTTTATTATTAATTTACTAAACCTATAAATTTTTAAATTCAATTTTAGATATATTCTCACTTATTATATATTATATAATTTTCTATTTATTAAAATTTATTGCCAAATTCACTAATATTAGTTATGCAAGCGATGGTTGTAGAATTACATATTAAGTTTTGCATTGATTCATTTTCATTAATAATTATAATGGGACCTTCACCTTTTAGACAGACTCGTGAATAATATGATTCATAAAGAAATGTCTCCCCCAAGGTTCCATGATGGGTCTTGTTTATTGTCTTCCCCGGCGTAGATTAATTTATCCCATTGAGGGGGCCTTCTAGCCTATGAACTTATTACAATTTTAAAGATAATTAGATTTCTCCGTTTTATATTATTATGTATAATTACTATAAATATCTTACAGTATAGATCTATCTCTAATTGCTTTACATTGCTTATGCTTCAATGCAAGTGCAACAAATTGTTCAGGGCCTTCATTTTGATATATTAATACAATATTTTTTATTTTCGTGTTATTTTTATTGACCAATATCGCGTAAGACAATTAATTATACTTAATAAGTACAAGTGTAACAATATATAATGGACTCTTTTAATTTATTTAAAAGTATTTTTTATTAAATTGAGTAAATAAAATTTACTAATTTCGGAGATAAATATAATATTAATGAATGGATTCCACTACGCTATAAAATCTATGATGCTCGCATTAACCTATATATGCAAGTCATTAGCAAAAACTATATATATTTTACTTTACATATCATAAAATTCTTACTAATATAACATTACTGCTATAATAATAATATATACGAGTATAATATATATGAGTTTGTTTGTTACCTCTTAACCCAATCACTATAAAATTTGCTATACATACCTATTTAAATAGATAGATAGATACTCTCTATTGTTTCCTCCAAAAGATTACAGTAGTAAACTTATAATGAATAGATATATAGATTTTCAAGAAATGTTTACACTGAGAAAACAATGGGCGGCAATTTACTATACAGAATGAAGAAGGACACAGGCTACTCGTATCTTTTATCCCGGTCATTGTACATAAGTAAAATAAAAGGTATTTAGTAATAGTTTTCTAGTTTTTAATTGTATTATCTTGAAACACCGTTTATATCTTCGTAATACGGGTATTATAATACACAAATTTTAATAAAGGCCATGAGTATATTCTAGTATGTACGCGTATAAGGCTTTCGCGTCTCCTTCTACTCAATAAATTGCATTTCCTGAATTCCTGACATAGCATTGTTTATATGATGGTTACATATCTACATAAATCATATGTACTTTATTCTTAGGTAATGGTAATACCTAGGTACTCAGATTATATAGACAGTGTCTCCATACAAATGCTTCGAGAAAAGCGGGTCATCTTTTTCATAAAATTTTGTGTGCTAAGTGGTTATGAGTGATTCCTTTATAACTTCTATATTTATTTTGTCTTATAAATTCTGCACCTTTTTAATGCGCAAAAACTCATTTTATTTATTAAATAATTAAATATAGATACATCAAGATACATTGTGTGCGTAAGTATATAGAACATTAAACACAAAAACGAGTCAGCTAATTTGATAATTAGCTGACAAAAAATTACCTTATTTTGAGTCTTGATGTATCTATATAAATAAAGCCTAATATTATTACTTATATATATATAACATATCTGGTAATACTAATATTATTAAGGTAAGAGAATTGTTAAAGACGGGGCTTAGCGTCCCATTTCTAACAATATATCCTGTCAGGTGTGCACATGGTGTTCTTGAAAACCATTGTAACTTCATACTCACTTATCATCACTCATGTGGTACTCCGCCAATGTATACGAATAGCGCAGTGTAGTCAATAGTCACCGTCTGGAGATCGATCTGAAGGATTTATTGCTAGTATAGCCTCTATGACCGTGTCGTTCCGGCATAGAATAGGTCACCCTTTCCTTTCCGGCGGGTGTTGTAAGAAGTGACTAAGGTAAGACGAGGGATGGACAGCAACATCCCTCTTAAAACATTTCTAAAGCCTATCTGCGGTTGTCGATCCGTCTGCCAAGCGTGGCATTTACTGACAAAACCCCCCAAGGGGTAAGCTTATGTTCAGCAGTGGATAGTTAAAGGTTGACATGATCATAATGATGATGAGTCGTTATTGAAAAAAATCACATACCTCTAAAATAATATATAGTAGTACTTGTTGATGGGGACAAGCTAGAGGCGATCAAAATTTTGCGACATTTATTATAATCTCGATTTATGTTTACAAATTCATCATGTAAAGGCGGTTTTATTAAAAAAATTGCCGACTAATGGTCCACAATATCGCTTCTCTCGTGGGTCCTCCGGGATCGGGAGGAATTTCCCCCCGGCCCTCCCCGCACCGATCTCAATAACGACCTCGCCTAACTTGGATTTGCGAAGAATTTCTTATCTACCTAATAATATTTTACTGTATAAAATATATGTAGGTGTTACGTTGAAAATTTTAACCTCCAGACAGCTCGATCTGATAAATATCGTACACTCACCCAAGGATTTCATTTCATACTGTAAGTAGGTACCGCTAATAGATTATTGATATATATATTATAAACCTAGATCTAATCCACTATACTAAGATGAATAGGATTGTTAGAAGCTATCTAATAGGGACTTCCTTTTGTCTAAAGACTA